ACACACACACACACACACACACACACACACACACACACACACACACAGCTGCAGGCAGACATAACCCTCAGCTGTTATTATAGAGCCTGCTTGGAAGACAGAGCTTTGCAAATACTCACTATGTTGACATCAACAGAAAGGCATTCCATTCATGAGCACCACTAACAGAACAAGCAGACAAGCCTATGGGGTCACAGTAAATGGGCAGGTACAGTCTCTGTGACAGAGGACATTTTGATTACATGGCTCCCACTGGACCCTGGGGAAAATACATTAATTCAACCTTTATTTATACAGGTTAGTTCCCACTGAGCCTCAAGGACTCATTTACAAGAGAGACCTGTTGCATCACCCCTATTATCACCATTCTGACAGCAGGTATAACTTGTCACTGCACAGTCACCTGACACATCATACCCGACATCAAACATGGAAAGCTCCAGCTTAGTATATTTTATGATGTTGGTGAATTTACAGACTTCTCAATAATTTTTTGAGTAGGAGGCTAACGGCTCAGAGTAGGAGGCTGGAGTCATTTCCCAACATCAGCACAAAGATGTTCTGTGCAGTGAAAATGTCGGTGAACGCACTGTTTAAACACTGATCACTGATGAAAATGTCTTACCAGCATCACAGATACAAAAGTTATGAAGTCATAACCTGCAGCAGCTGTCAATCACTTTTGTAGAGTGAGATAACATACATTTTCAAGAATCTAATAAAGAATTATTTCACAATGAATTTTATCTTTATTCTTTATCTTGCAGCAGTCCCAGCTGAATTCATGCAGCTCAAAAATTTGACTTTGTCTTCTGCAACTACAGACAAGATCGTGAAATCTGATCGACATCAAAAGCATCATAACGCATACATATGATATGAATAAGAGTTTTAACCCTTTAACTTTATGACTCTTCTTGTTCCTCTGGGGGGAAAATCGCCCACCTTATTTAAATGATCTGTACTTACAGTATATAGCACCTTTCTATCTAATGAAGATACTCGCAGCACTTTACAACACAATCTGCGTCCTCATTTACTCATCCACACATTCATACAGCAGCACTCTACTAGATCTCTACAAAGTTACTCTGAATCTGTAGAAACTAATCAGTGCACATTCATACACCGATGGGACTCACATTGGAGGCAATGAGGGGTTCAGTGTCTTGCCCGGGACACTAACAAGGTGGAGTCGAACCCCCAACTCTACCACTGGAGGACGACTGCTCGAACCACTCAGCCAGAGCTGCCCCAATTTGCTTCAAAATACTATTTAAAAATATTTTTCCACATAAAAAAAAACTAGTCAGCCTTTAAGAGCTGTCTCAGCATGAAATAAAAATATGTAATTTAATTTTTTTATTCTATTTTATTTTAATGATTTAAGATTTTTTTTGTTTTGTTTTGTTAAAAACTCTACACGTTTTTTTTTTTTTTTTTTTAATTGACAAAAAGTTTGTTTTAAGGTAATAAAAAAAAAAAAAAAGTATTTTCCTCCATTAGTCTGCTCTCTGGATCAACATCCACATCCTCCTGTGTTCTCCAGAGCTCAGATCTGATGCTTGGTTCTGCTGGTCCAGTCAGAGGGGATCAGAGGGGTTCTGGAACCACTCTTCTGCACAATCGGACCTCGTAGTGGGGCTCGGTCCACTCTTCCTCCTCTAAAACAAATCATGATCACCCTTTTCATCGACAAAGTCCTCTGTCTGACTCATACTGTTTTTCTCCTTCATGATCCTCTCCCGTCCGAGAGGTTCTGACTCGGTGGTTCCGTCCTCCTCTGGGTCTGCAGCAAACCTCATGACTCACTCCCGCTGTTGCTGTGACTTTATTGCACTGAACTCCATTCAACTTCCGTGTCTTTTTCTTTTTCTTCCTGTAAATTTTTGGGCGCTTGACAAATAACTCCGAGCCGCCGTCAGAAAGGAGGAGGGGGGGGGGGGGGTGACGGGGGTGTTTGGTCCCCAAGACTGCCCGTCTTTGCTGCAGCCTCTCGCTCTAATGCGCTTTAGATACGACAATGGTTTTCAAAAACAGATGTGGTGTGGATTATTTATCATAACGCTGCTTTTACTTGGCCTATCAAAATGATTTAAAAACTGGTGTGTAACTTAAAGTCTGCACTTATGACAAATTAAATTGAGTCACTGAGAGGCTGTGTCTTTCCCTCTAGAGTAACTGAAATCGGTCACGTGACTATCACATGCCATTGTGTCGATCGACTCCAAAGGAAATAATATTTATAAATCGTCAGTCAGAGTAAGCAGCAAAATCACCACCTGCTATTAAGAAGGTAGAAATTGGATTTATATACACAAAAACAATCAATTACAAATAAAACTGTTGATTTCTAACCTTATCAAGTGCCTCCTGTAGCACTCCCTCAGCCTCCTCCCACTTATTCTGAGCCATGTAGCAGGCCGCCTGCCCATTGAGAAGCAACAGTGTGGACGAGTACTTGTCAGACATTTCTTGGAAAATGTAGTAAGCATCTTGCAGCTTCTCTCCACCCTGAAACAAGCAAGGTGTTCACTATAAGAAAGGCACTAAGTTATGCATTTTTAATTCATGTGTTCCAACCTGTGCAAATTACTTTAAATCTGATAGCAGACTAAACACCAAAACTACATCAATGCTGACAATTTGCTCAAGACATATTTTCCATCACTACAAAACAATATTCCTCTCACCCCAAAGATTTACAAACATGACAACCATTCACGGATACATCATGCATTTACACACTGTTTTCTCCTTACCACAGCAATATTAACCCAAGCGGTGGCTAGCTGGGTAAGAGTAGCATCTTCATCCTGCTCCTGCATCTTCTTCAGTTCTTTCCTATTAAAAATACATAGATTAAATGGCAATAGAGCTAATTTAATAGCATCTTCCAAACTAGATATTATAGAATATTAACCTGCAACACTAGTGTCCATGCATTTACCTTCATAAGAATGTTTTCTGAGAGTCATAAAAAAGCTCAGCTGCAACTTCAACTAAACACAGTTTTATGTTTTTATAAAGATGTCAACAAATCAGTACCTTGCCAGGTCAACACGATCCAGACTGAGAAGCACCTGGATGGTCATGGCCATACTGACCAAAAGAAGAAAAAGAAAAACATGATTAGATCCAGTTTGATCAGATTCACAACAATATTAAAAAATTATAACCTTCTATCACAAAATAGAAATACTCAAGTGAAGATTTGTTAAAAATTAAATGTTTGCTATTTTAACCAAATTGTTACCACGAAACATTTAAAGTTTGAATGTTTTAGTTACCATTTGCAGTTAATATTTCATGTATTAACACAAGTTTATGTACCTTAATAATCTTTACTTAGTTAAAGAACATCCAAATCAACTTTTTATGAATAAACATTAAGGCAGAATTCAGTAATTCTGGTTGTATTTTCTAGCATTTTCTAATGAAACGTGATTAAACAACATCAAGTTCAGCAAAATCTTGATTCCTCTTTACCACTCCAGACTTTCTCCTTGATGCAGAGTTCGGAGGGCAGCATCAGTGTTCATCTCATGGTAGTAGATGGAGGCAGCCATGAGGAGAAAGGTGGTGTTGGCAGCATCCACACTCTTCGCCATCTTTTTGTCCAAATCAGCAACGATAGCGTCTCTGGAAAAAAAAAAAAAAAAACGGTTAAAAAACAAAAAGACAAAAAGTTTAATGCCAGAGGACAAAATAATTTACTATTTAACAAAAACATGTACGAAATTTGGAGATATGCCAGTAGTATTTGCACATCAACCAAAAAGGCAACTTTTGAATGAAACTGTGAAGATTTAACTGGTGATTAAAAACTGTCCATAAAATATCCATTTTACAACAGGTCATTGGGCATGTTTACACTTGTCATTTAATAGTTAGCTTAAATTAACTTGTTTTTAAATTAATAAATGATAAACAAACCAGGAGGACTCTGTGTTAAATCATATTAAATGCTGGGTTGTACCTTTTGCTTTCACTGGACAGATACTCTGCAAACATCTTCACAGCCTGAAGCTCAGGTGGAGAGTTGGCCTTAATGTCATCAAGAACAACAGCGCATTTCCTCTGTGAAACACAGAAACTCACACGTTACAGTGAGGACAGGGCTAGTTTTACACCGACAGATTTCTTGTTTGACACCTTGTCTTACCTGAGCGATGTATGCTCTGTGTAAAAACATGTCTCTTTCAATTTCCTTTTCTGGAGACGACGGCTTTAAAAACAAGATGATTTTTAGCACTGATTGTCGGTAAAGAAATAGAAGCAATGGATCGCTTCTATTAGCTAGTTTGTTAGCATAGGTCTTGTAGGCTAAACCGACAAATAAATAAATAAATGTAAACAAATAAACAAATTTAAATATGTCACATACCTTCACTTTCTGAGCCTCGTTAATACATTGTTGGTAACTGCCGATATAATAAGCATTTTTCACATCGAACAGTTCATCAACATCAGTCTGCTGCGCCGCCATATTGACTACTGAACTTCCGGACACGTCGCAAAAACACGCCACCTTTTTGCGTTTCTACCAAGGATTCTGGGAATTTGAGTTTTAACAGAGCTAGAATGGAAAACATGTTCAAGATGAAAACGTGTACTGTACGTACTGCATTAAAAGATAAACTTATTACGAATTACAATTCAATACACTTAATTTATAGATTATGATACATTACTTTTGGAAATAATTCAATGTCAGCACTAATCTGTAATCTGATAAATGTTGTTGTATAAACTGCTATTTTCTTGTAGTCTTGTCTTGACAAATTTGTAAAAGAATAAAATAAAAAAAACTTTTGCATAAGCTCCCAAAGCTTGCTTTTTATTTATTTTAAATTAGTTTTTTGCCATCTCTTAAGTGATTTCTTGTTTGCATTCAAAGTGATTTAAAATATTTTCTATTAACTTTTAACCCCTTGTTTAAGAATTGTTATTTTAATGTGGCTTTGATTCCGAGCACATGATTGTAAGGATTAAAAAAAAAGTTAAATCGTGTCACCTAGAGTGAGAAACGTTTTGATGATTTTAAGAGCTCTTATCTTCTTTGGTTGTATAAATACATATTTTATAAATTTTAATTTTATATTTTAATTCGTTGCTTTCTTATTTGGTTTCACTGAGACGCTTTGGTCAACTTTATTTGTTTTAAAAGCGCTATCAAATTGACGCCAATGTTTTGATACTCATTTCACCACATATACCAGCAGGGGGCGCTCCAGACCAATTTCAATGTTACAGGATAGATAGATAGATAGATAGATAGATAGATAGATAGATAGATAGAT